GGGCTGCGGCCGGGGGCTGCTCCTCGCGGGGCTGGTGAGGGCTGCGGGGACGCGTCAGGGGCAGCGCTGCCCGGCGGTGCCCGAAGGGCTGTCTGCAGATCACCCAAATGGGTGTTTACAGCAGCTGTCGGCGGCCAGTTTGCTCCATAAGGGACCTGAATTCTGTGGGCAGACGCCGAAACAGTAAATGCCACAAGAATTAGCAAGGCTTATCTGTTTAACAACACGAACTGCGGCCTGACTAAGCGCTGAAGGGGGACTGCTCTTTCCCCTTCCCGATGGACCTTCTGTGGTCCTTTCTGAGCGCTGTCTCCTCCACCATGCTTTTCCAGTAAGGAAGTGCTTTGCAGATGTCTAAAGAAAACTAAACTCCCTTTAACAGGAGGTAGAATTAAGCATAAAAGAGTTGATCTCTGGTAGTTGTAAAGAACTTGTGCAAATTAAAGGACTATTTCTATCCTTCTTTCCAGAGAGAAGTTCAAAAGGGAACAAGTATGGCCAGCAGTAACAGACCTCCAATAGCTCGTCCTTCTTCGAGAGCAGGAATAGGGCTGACCACGAGGCCTAGCTCTTCATCAAGGACTCCATCAGCAACCAGAATAGGAACAGGGGTATGTTAAAAAAATTTAATATTAACTTTGATATATTTAGATTTTTATTCATTTTTTTTTGTATTTTTTTAGTGCTGTGGCTGGAATGATAGTTTCTCAGGAAGAATTTTAAGATTTTGATTTCGCAGAGAGTTTCATTGTCTGATTTTGAATGAAAAGGATCAAGGAGGTCTTGCATCAATAGTTCACCTGGGAGACCTTAGTAGCATTAATGTTGCAGACAGGGGGAACAATGAACAGCTGCTCAGAGGTAATCTCTTCCCCTTCTGCAGCAGACATTTGAAGCTTTTGTTTGCCTGAAGAGATGTAAATGCTAAAAGATTCATATAGGAAGAGTATAGAGACCAACTTAGGTTTTTAATTGCTTTGGCAATTGCATAAGGATAATAAATTCATAATTCAGAGTAGTGAGCTTTCTGGTTTGGTTTTTTTATAGATGCCTCCTAGTACATCAAGGCCTGGTTCTCGTGGTGGTTCGTCAACTACTGGAGGAGTCTTATCATCTCAGATTAAAGTTGCGGACCGTCCAGTGACTCAACAGGGATTAAGTGGAATGAAAACTGCAATGAAAGGTATTTTTTTACTGAAAATAGCTATCAAGGTATCTGCAAATGTTTTAAAGAAATGTTTAGGTTTTTAAAGGAAAACTTTTCATCACTCTGTAAATTGCAGAGTGAATAGCTATCATTAATAGGAGCAGCAGAAAGGAAAGGAAGAGTAAAGCATCCCTTTTTTATTTTAGTTGCTTTTGGCAGTCAGAGAAGACAAAGGCTTTTATGTGCCTGAGCTGTGTTTAAAAGTGATTCAAAAGAATAGAACAGGATAAATTCTGTCTTCTACCATCACTGCAGAATAATTAAAATACTTTATTATATAGTAAATATTCATATAGCCGAAAAAGTAGTGTTTACCTTTGCCACAGTCTAAAATTAATTTCTGCCTTCATTTATTTCAGTGAGGTAAAATTTACTTAAGAACACCGAGAATATGGCAGTTCCCTGCCTGCAAATTCTGCAGATTGTTTCTGTAATTTACAGTTCATCAAAAGTAGTAGTTTTCTAACAAAATGTCATCTTACTCTCCTTTGTCAGGTCCTCAGAGACAGATAATGGATAAAACTTATTACCTCGGACTGCTGAGGTATGTTTTAGCAACACATTTAAACCACAGAGGGTTTAATGCTCTGTTCCCTTTCTGACATGAACTTTATGGCGCTTAAGAATAGCGTGGTGTAAGTGGTGTTCACTTACAATGAAATCTGCCCTGTTGTAAGAATTAAGCTCATTTTGCTTATAGTTTGTAGGAGGAAAGGCATTTTATGCTTATGTCTAAGTACAAGTAGATTCATTTGACATTTTGTTATTAGGCTTGCTAATTTAATTGCAATCCCACAGCGTTAATAAAAGGAGGGTCAGTGATTTTGAGCCTCTACCTGTAACACTTGATAGGTCTGATAGCTCCATTTCTGGGAAGTAGCATCACATTTTAGTGTACATTTCAGGTGGTTTACTTAAATTATACGTTGAGCTAACACTGACAAAGGCAAGGCCTTGCAAAAACTGTATTACATATGCTACTTTGTCAGTTGATCATATTTCAGTATTGTCCTAAAAGATGTCATTCTAAATATGAATGGTATCCACATTCTGTGAAACAGCACAATAATTTTTTTTTCCCTGTACTTTTGAGAATAATCCACATTTGTTTCATCAGTAGGGGCAAAAAGCTAATTAAAAAATTTTATTTCATGTCCAGGTTTTCTAACTACATCTTGTGATTTTATCTGATAGAACCACTCTGCTTTTTTCTTCAGTCATCCAGCTCTTCTTTGAAATACTGATTTGAAACATGGTACAGTGTGAGAGATACTGATTGCACATCTCCTGTAGTAAAATATAATTCCTGTTCTGTCTGTGGTTTATTTGTACATTCAAATGCTAATGGTTCTATTTTATTTATTTTTTTGTAGAAGCAAAACAAATGAACTCACAACAGAAATTAACAAGCTTCAGGAAGAAGTAGAAATGTACAAGCAAGAGAAATCTGTCTATTTGTCATATGAAAAAAGGTGAGATGTATTGCAGCTAATGCAGTGCTAACTTTCTCAGTCGCAAGACTGTTCGCGAGTATTCTGCAGGCTTCAAGGAACCATTAAATAATTATTTTTTTCATTATTTTATTTTTACATATACGAATCTTCCCATATTAAGTTTGGCTTTTTGTTTTGTATTTAGGGCTGAGGCTTTAGCTGGTGAAATCAAAGAATTTCAAGGTCAGCTAGCAGACTACAACATGGTATGCTGCTGTCAGCTTTTGATACCAAACACTCTCCCATCTCTCATTTACTTTGTACTGCTTTTGCTTTACTTTAGCATCTTTTTTATTGACATTTCTCTGCAAAAATTTATTGGTTAATGCTACCTGTTATTCCATTATTGGAAAGGAAAAAGGCAGAAACTAAGGAAAACTAATTAAAGAAAAAAAAAAGTGTACTATACATTAGGAGAAGTAGTTGCATTTGGATTTAAGAAATTACTGCTGTGTTGTGGGGTTTGTACAGCTACATATAATGATGATTACTTCTGAAAACTACATGTCATCTATTAAGATTCCCAAATCACGTTTTTTCCATTTGCAATAACAAAATTGCTGTGTTTTCATGAGCACTTTGTGAGTTGCTACCTATTTGTGTGATTTTTTTTGTGTGTAATTAAAAAAAAGGAGAGCAATAACAGGTTGGAATTCCATCTCATTTCAGGTTGTGGATATACTCAACACCAATACGGATATGGCAGAAGTGATTCGAGATTACAATATGGTAAGAATTAAGATATTTGCGATCTTCGAACAATGAAACAGTGCGTGTTACATTCTTGGTTCTTCGAACATACAACATATATAGAAAAGCTTAGTACTAATTTAAAACTTAACCATTTTTTCCAGTTAAATTAACCATAATATTGGCAATGTGTTTGCAGTGAGACAATTGTCTGAAGTGTTGCACTAAACCATGATAGTTTCGTGTGTTTTAGATTTGAGAAGGCTGTCATCCCAACCCAAACTACGAGTGTTAAAATATATTCTTTATTTGACTTGGAAGCTTAGAACACTAGTCTTATGACTAGACTGCACTGCCTTGTAAAGCTGCCTGGCCTTCTGGAAATTTAGTTCTCTCTTGTCTTCTAGCTTTTAAATTACTCTAGTATAATAAATATTAAGTAGGTCTCTGACGTGGCCAGCCACAAAATCCATGAGCTTTATTCTTCCTTTATTTTCTTTATTTTCTAGCACAGTTAACAGTGTGCTAAGTATTAAGGTGTGAGTGGCATTAAGCATGTTCTGTTACTTAAGATCACTTTGTCCATAAGCAAAAGACACTAGTTTTAGAAAAGGTAGCTTGAAAAACCACCTGAGTATTTCTTGGTCAAAACAATTTCTTTTTCTCTGGCATTTGACTGAAAAATGAAGTCAGAACGTGTCATAAAGAGAAGAATGCTTTGCAAGTGTTACATTTTCATTTTGTTTGTAGGCTTAAACAGTATTTTACTAAGTATTCGAGGAATAAATCCCACAGTAAGAGTAAGTGAATTGGTTTGTTACAAACTTGATTGTATTTCTTTTTCAAACAGAGATACACCTTCTTACTTCCTTTAGTTTCCAGTGGGAGCCTGCAATTTCAGGTCTCTCTTCAGTATCAACTGCGAAAAACGTCTGGAGCAGGCAGCCTCTGCTGCTTCTTCCTCTAGGGCATTCTGAGCAGCTTCTTGCTCTTTTAAAGGAAATTTTGAATTGGTGTGTAAAATCTGTATCTTTATTATTATACAGTATGTCAAAATATCTTTTTTTTTTTTTTTTTCTCCAAGTTAAAGGTGCAGAATGACCGAGACGCTCAGAGTGTGGATAAAATTTTCACAGAAAGACAAGCGTAAGTACATGAAGTGTATGCTTCTCCAAAGCTGTTAAAATCATAACTGAACTTGGCAAAATTGAGGTGTTACCTAATGCAGAAGTTCCTTAACAGTGAGATGCATGCCACAAGTGACACCTGAGCAATTTTGAGATGATACATCAGTGCCAGGCTGCAGCTGGAGTTCCCAGCTTTAAACTCTTCTGAGTAATTGCTGTGGAGATACTTACCACGTCATCCAGGAGGAGTTAGGTGGCAGTGGAAACTCCTGTCTTTTGGCAACCTGCTGCCAAGTTCCTGAGTTCTGGAGGTTGTGTTGTGGAGTAGCAGGGGAAAGCAAGTAGAAGTGGGAACTAGAACTGAGATTCCTGTCTAGCAAGGTATAAGGGTGTGTGGAGGGGAAGATAAGGATAGTGAGGTGCTTGCGATAAGAATTTGTAAGCCATAAAAATAGGCTGGGGGGGTGAGTTTCTGAGATGTTTAATTTAGGGACAGGAGATGTGCAGGAGAAAGAGATATGATCCTGCTTGTTGCCAGTAAGAGCAATCTCAGTGATGAGATTTTATTTATATAAAAGCACTTTTAAAAAACAATTTACTATTTGATAATAAGTCCCTTTTCAATATACTGTTGTTTTCAACAGCTCACAAATGTGTCTAATCTACCCCTGAATACATTTTTATGTTAAGAAAAATCTGGCTTCAGTCCCCAGTCTGGCTGTGGTCTGCTTCAACATTTTAGAGAAACTATTTTTCCTTCCGGGACTTCTTTGTATATAAAGCATTAGTGATTATGCCAGCTTCACGAGCTACTTTGTAAAGACTCAGTCACATTAAGCAATATGCAGTAAGCTTCTCCCCTCCCCCCGCCAAATAACCAAATAGGTTTTTATGAAAAGTGGATTATGAGTATTTTTTTGCATGTTTTGTAGTATTTGCTGTGACACTGCTCGTCATGCATGTCACCACATTTGTAGCTTCATGATTCATGCAGCAATACCTTGTCATGGATTTGACAAGATGAAAGGAGATGGACTGCTTAGCTTCATTTTTTATTGTACATAAGTAGCATAATACAGAAGTACAAGTGTACTGCAGTTTTGAAAAGCCAGTTCATCATCATGCAGTGTTTAAGACATTAACGCTCCTCAGTTGCATAAGAGTCTATGTATTTATCTTCAATAAATCCATCTTCCCCCGGCACAAATGCATGAACTTTCTCAAATATTACTCTGTGATCTTCATTGTCTGTACCTGATACTGTAGGAGAAGAACTCATGTCAGCTGAGAACTCCTGTTCAAACATCTCTGAGTCATCTTCTTGCAGACGACGGTGACTGTAGCTGATCAAATAGCGGCACCATGTTGGGCACTTTATAGCAGTAAAAATCAGGAGTGTAGTGCTTAGGACAAACCCTAGGACACCCGCTACGAAGGTCCAACTTTTGCTGAGAAGTGGTAACTCTTTAAACAGACAGGAAAAAAAGAAGAGTCATCTTCATGAGGAATACCAGCAAGAACTCTAGTATGAATTTTTCGTAGTTAGATTGAGAACACACAAAATAAACAATGACAGGGGAATTACTGAGTGTCTCCAAAGCTTTAGTAGACTGTTACAGCTTTTTTACTGGGAAGTCAGTAACATCACTCAGACCAAAAGTGCATGTACATCTCATATTTCCTAGCAATATAAATCCACCATGCATATTTATAAAAATTAAATAATAGTTTCAAAGTCAGATAAACTCCTGGGGACATATAAAATAGCCATTTTTTCAAAATCTAAATTCCAAGATTGGGCTTTGGAAGAAAAAAAGTCAGTAATTTACTTCAAATTCTGTTTCCCAGGCTTAAATTTCTGTATGGTGATGATGCGTGCACCCTAAAATACTACATCTTTTTTTTGGCATATCCTTTCAATTGCATTTCTTTTATAATAAAAATTTCAGTAGCCTGTAGTTGCCATTAGTCTTTATTTAGAAGCTGGGTTTGTGTGGTGGCAGCTATCCTAAAATAGGTTATACCTGCTACAGCAAAAGAATTCTGTGGCAGTGGTGACTTACAATTAGTATATGTATCTGGAGATTGATATTTCTTCTGCTTTAGCCAGAAGCAAGAAGTAAAGCATTTCAGTGTGGAAGAGTGGAGAACGTTAATTTGCATGTAAGAAGAAAAAAATTTACTTTACCAAAATAAAAGCTAGAGTATTACAGACTGATGATAGAATTAACATCAAAAGGTGAAGAAAAGTAAGGAGACTATCACTGAAATTTTCAAAGAATCTGGGATGGGCACATCCATGTCTTTTACACTGAACACAGTTGAGGGCAGGAGTAAAATTAATAGGCTCACTCATTCGCATTTTAAGACAGCTACATCTAGAAAGTAGTTAATTTGGAAGAAGTAGTTGAATCTTTTTAAAGATGCTTCCCTACTTCTGTTAGGCAGAAGTCTGGACAATTATCTGAATTTCAACCCTTTGAAATTTCATCACCAGTTTGTAGTATCATTTGAGAATTCAAGTGTGGTTTATCCATTTTGAACGCTTACTCAGAGGAGCTTAACATTCACCATAATGCGTGTGTGGTCTACCAAAACCTGGAAATATTCTTGTTCTGTAGCCCTGGCTTTTATGGAAGAATGACAGTGTGCTAGGAATGCAACAGTATGAACTCACAGAACAGCAAATCAAACAGCTTGTAAGCCATAAAGCGAAACGTCTGTATATTACCTGCATGAGTTCCATTGTTTCCAGTGACGTTGTTTGGAGTCAGAGCTGTTAGTAAGGGACTATTTTTAAGCTTAATGGCAGAAATGGAAGTTACAGTGCTTTCTAAAGAAGCTTTTTCAGTTTTGCAGTCAGCTAGTTGGATATCTGCTGTCTTGATGGACAATTTTTTCATGGTGCTTGGGAATGTACATACAGTGCTGTTTTCATTTTCTGTGAATATGAGATATTGCTAATTAATTGGCACTCAAATCTAAAACATTTTCATGGATAACTAATGTATTACTGCAAAATACAGATAAGTTGATTGTCGGTATTATCCAGATCAGGAAAAAACAAGGTAAGGCTGTTTGATGTAAACAAGTATGAAATGCTGCTCTTACCAAAACTTACCCATTGTCACATTGGAAGCAGTTAGCCATATCTGTAAATCAAGGAGGTCACAGGAGCAGATCCATGAGTTTCCAGCTAAACCAATTTTAATTAATTTAAAAGGTGATTTTATATGAAAAGATTTCAGAATGTTATGCTGTAAATTTAAAACTGTCAGACTTTTTAGAGAAGTAAATGCATCTGAATCTAATTGAGTAATCGTGTTATAGGATAGATTCAACACTGACAGTTGATTTAATCCTGCAAATGCTGCTTTATGAACTGTGCTAATATGATTGTTGCTGATATCCAGAATTACGAGTTTTGTCAGACTGCAGAAGCTGTTATTATACAGTACAGTAATCATGTTTTCATTCAGATAAAGTTCAGTGAGATTGATAAAGCTTTGAAGAATCTCTTTGTCACTATCTTTTAAAGTGATTTTATTATTTTTGAGGCTCAATTTAGTAACATTTTGTAAGAGGTTTGTGGGGATATCAGAGAGGTTCTTTCCAGATTCTTCACAAGTGACCTGTTGAAAAAAAGAGAATGACAACAATTAAATTCTGTAGGGAAGTCTGGTGATGAAGGTGTCTTAGTGGTGACTATTAAGGGCATGAAAAATCTTTCTTGTGTTTTTTGATGCCAGTACTTTAAAAGAAAAGTTCTACTGTTCTTCATGCAATTTAATTTATGTTGTTCGCCACATACTCATGTTCTGGTGATACAGGGGAATGAATCCTCCAAGTGTATAGAGACCTGAAGTTCCAGGTCACGTAGTGCTTAAATTCTGTTTGAGATGCAAGGCTCTTTATGTGATGATCATCCAAAATATAACCAGTTCAGCATGCTATTTTAGAATTAGTAGGGCTGTATGTTTTAGAATTCTATATGAAGGCTGGCTGGGTAGGAAAAGGATTCCTTTCCCACAAAATATGGAAAAAAGGTGTCATAGAGGAAGTAGATTCAAGGCTGAAAATTATTTCGAATATGCTTTTTCAAATGTTTTGTTTTAAAATCAGCTATGTTTACTCTTTAAAACATCTTTGGAGCAGACCTTCAAGAAAACATTTAGTATATATTTTTATTATAAATATAGCACTTAAATTCATTTTGGTTTTCTGGGTTGAAATTTAGCATAGCTGCAGCCTTTTCAGGTTTGAGACTGTTTACTCTCAATACCTTGAAACATTTTTGTTTTCTGAAAAGAGTAGATTTCTTTATATGTATGCTTATGCATTGCCGCAGACTACAGTTTAGTGTCAAGATACTTGAACTGGCTTTAAAGGAGATCCAAGGTACTGGAAACAGATTGGTTGTTATCCCTCTTCCTAAATAAGTAGCCTATGTTCAGCTTGTTACTGCTGTGACCAGGTTGAGTCTAGTTAGTTTATTTAAAAACAAATGGAGGTGGAGTGCCTTTTCTATGCTGTATGTATGCATTGCATGGCTTTTTTTGTTCTTCATGTTTGTCCCAAAGATATAGTACTGGACCTGTAGGCAGTGAGTCAGAGCAAATAATGCAATACCAATTTTATCACTTGACTGTTAATCAAGACTTTTTCTGTGCCTTCCATTCCCCAATAAATACAAAATCCACTAAGTTAATCTCTGGAAAAAACCTTTAAAATTTCTTATGTACATTTGGACCTGACTTGGGCAAGTGCTGACTCAAGAAATCTCTCTAACTTGAGCAGTAGTTGGTCTTGTCCAAATTACTGTTGCTTTTTTGGTCTATTCCAAAAAGATTAAGGAGGCACTTCTGTTGTATGCAGAGCGTTTTGTCTAAAACCATCTCAAATGTGTTTCAGTGTTATTCACGTACTTACAATGACTGTCAGCAGTTAGTTGTCCGTTTAGCAGAAAACCGCATCATCTTATTTGTCTCTGTGTGCTTCTTTCTTCAGGAATTTTATGTT